GGAAGACTTTGATTGAACTCGGCGTCTTGTCAGGGATGATGACACACTAAGAGTCGCAGGAAAGAAGTGAGCCGTCGGGTGCGCGAACACGGGTCGTATCAGTCGTATGGTCGTCGCGAGTCGCCGATCGAGAGGCGTCGAAAAGCGAGCTAGAGAATTCAGTTTGTGTGCGTGCATGCGTGTGCGTGTGCGTGTGCGTGTGTGCGTGCGTGTGTGTGTGCGCGCGCGCGCGCGTGTCGCGGAGAGAGAGAGAGAGAGAGAGAGAGAGAGACTCACCTGCCTGGACCGTGACGAGGGTGCCCACCGCTAAATATAGCATCCCCAGCAGCACAAAAGTGGCTCGCCTCTCCATCCCGATGGCGCTGCTGCCGATGTACGCGGTGGCGCGTGACCGTGTGGACCGTGCACGGCAATACGATTACCAACGACGAGCACGATGCCCCACCTCGTCGTCGTCGTCGTCGTCGCGGAGCAGGTGAGGAACCTACGCGGCACCTGGACGGGCAATGCCTGTTGTCACGTTGATGGGCCGTCGTACACGGATATAGCGTGTCGTCGTTGTCCCCGTCGTCCTTGTCCTTATCGTCGTCGTTATCACCGCGATTTCCCGTGGCCGTCACCTCGTCGATATTCTCGGACGGTCCGTCAAAACCGCGAATTCTCTTTTCGCACCGATCGTGCGCAACAGACGGATTGTTCGCGCGAAAGCGCCCGTCGCACCGCTGCTGCTGCTACTGCTGCTGCTGCTGTTGCTGCTGCTGCTGTTGCTCCACCTCCTCTTCTTCCTCTTCCTCTTCTTCTTTTTCTTCTTCTTCCTCCTCCTCCTCCTCTTCCTCTGCCACCAATGTCGCCGCTGCCGTTGCCGTCACGATCTATCACTGACGTTTGATCGTCCGTCTTATCGTTATCTCTGCACTCTTATCTTAATGCGCACTACACAGTGACCGTCCAGGTGCCGTCGCCGCCGTCGTCGTCGCCGTCGTCGCCGCTCCGTCGTCGTCGTCGCTCCCTCCACCACCGCCTCCTTCTTCCTCTACTTCTCTTTCTCCACGTTACCGTTGTCGTCGATTCACTTTTTGGAAGTGACAGAGAGGGGAGAAGAGAGGGGAGAAGAGAGAGAGAGAGAGAAAGAGGCACACAGATCACCACACGAATAAACACAATGCGAACCGCAGCAGCTATACTAGCTATACTAGCTAAGTAGCTACGGCAACGTCGGCAACATCAGAATAAAAATGGCGACCGTTGTCTTCTGCTCGGAGCCTCTTCCTCCTTCTCCGCCACGCAAATGTCCGTCTCGTTCTGTCACGCGCCAATCGACTTCCCCTCCACTTCGCCATTTCCTCTTTTTCCGATAACTGCGAAATTCTACGGTTGCGCTCTCTGCAGCGATTCGCGGTCCTTTTAAGCTTGATACACACGCTTTAAAATTTACAAGCAATTCGAGGCGATTTAACGCAACCTTTGACTTGAAGTTACGTTTATTTCTACCAATGGTTGCGTTTAGCAAAGAAAACTAATCAGCGCTTAGTGATTCTTCAATATAATTGGTTTCTACACTTAGGGAGCGTTTATTGCGGTCCACTTGACGCTACAAACGTTTCGAAGCGTTTGAGCGACCAATTAGAACAAAGAATTTTACGAATTAACTAATCAAAGAATGCTTCGAAGCTTTGTAGCGTCAAATGACCGTAGCTTACATTGGCTGCGTTCAGCAGACTCAACAGTTTTGCAACCGTTTTATGATTGTCTGCTGAGATAGGACCATTCTTCTAGATTTAAAAGTATGATCCAATTAGCGCGAAGGAAACTTCCAACAATTGCAAAACAACCGTTCTGCTGAACGCAGCCATTGGCCGTAACCGTGTGCCGTATGCTGTAATCTGTAAAAATTGATCAATCACCTTCGAGTATTCCCTTCTTACCATCGAATAAGAGGGGAATACTTGACTGTGATTAGTCATTTCTTAGGGGCTGCGCAGAATAAAAGGAACAGGGAACAGAGAATAAGAATTTCAACCTATCAGAAATAATGTATTGTGGAATACACAGTTTCTGATAGGTTGAAATTTTTATTCTCTGTTCCTGTTCCTATTCTCTGTTCCTATTCCTATATTGTGCGCAGCCCTTTATAGATTATGGTACACGGCATACGGTTACGGCCAATATAAACGCTCCCTTAGGCCGGAATCAGACTACGCATTGAAGATTGAGGTTGAAGATTGAAGATTGAAATTTGACCAATAAGGACAAAGAAATTTGAGTTCCTTTCATTTCGATTGATCAA